CATTCATCACTTTGTTCTGCAAAACATAAATTGCATAGAGTTAAGCTATATTCCAACATTTTAATCAACGATTGCTCATGTTTTGACAGTAAAATAAGTATGTAAAAACACACTTATCAAACTCCCCCAAACTTGAACTATTGTTTGTCCTCAAACAACAACATAACTCAACTCTACAAACAACATGGTTTAACAATATGCCGTGTCTCAGGTTTGGAATTCGGTAATCAAACAAGTGAATAATTACAACAGTGTAAATTGTAGTATGTTGTGTATTAAACGTTCCTTGTGTAGCGCCATCGTTAGCTTAAGGTTCTTGGATTATATTGGATATTATCAAAACGCTTGAACTGGATTAATGCAGCTACTGGCTGTGGGATTTTAAGTCGTTGAAACTATTGTCTGACTGAAAATGCATGTAGCGCTGAAAATTTTATTATGCTTTGCATTTTAATCTTGGAGAGCTGCAAGACAAGCAGTTTGAGAGAAGAAAAATTATGGAAAACAAGGGAGGAACTCTTTTGCAAATCCGGATTATGGTAATGCGACTAACATCTCTGACTCGCAAGTGCACCACTTAGATGGTGCTACTGCTGGCATACTCGTGTCTACACGACACAGGTACGGGTATGAAATATGGGGTGGATCCTTCAATTTTCAAGCCGACATGGTAGGAACAATAGCTAGAGGAAGAGAGGCGAGATCCATACCAGAAGTATAGATTTCGGACAAGACATGAAGCCAGCTGTGGGCCATTGCAAGATGGCCCCATCAGCAGCGGTGGCGGCGTAAGGGAGAGCCGCCACTGGTAGAGAAGATTTGGGGGTTTGAGAACCCCCAAAAGGTGGCGAGAGGCCAGACAAGGGTGGGTGAGGGGCCCGTGCTGCTATTCTGTTGTTGGAGATGGGTGGGTCTGGATGTTCAGACGGCAGGAGAGATGGTTGAGTGGCTGTGCGTGTCTCCCATAAGAGAGAAGGTAGAGAAATTTTAGAGAGAAAGTTACAGTTTTGATTTCTAGATCACAGCTACTTGTATGTATTTGTGGTTATGTATACGGGAAGAAATAATGAAGCAGAATCAATGAAAAATGAGGAAAGGCAGATGAAATAAAGCTATATAAGGAAGAAGGGGAAATTTCATTGGAGGTCATCTAAGTTACACTTTTGTTTCATGTTAGTAATTTAATTTCAATTTTGGCAACACTATATTTTTAAAGTGCTAAAATATAAAAAGTCCACGTTATTTATCAAAATGTGAGTTTTCTGTAGAGGCAAATAGGGGTGCATTGGATAGTTTTCTAGGTTTTATTTTAATTTTGTGCTTTTGTCATGTAAATTTATACTATTTTTGGTGTTTTAAGACTTTTAGTATAAATTTCTAGTTGGTTTTAAGTGACATGTTCTATCTTTTAATAATTTGCCACTTAATTATTATTTAACTTTTATATGTGAATTTTTGAGAAAAATATTGAAGTTTGAAAGACGTATCCACGTACCCGTGTCCAAAATTTAGACTTTTTTTAGCCCATGTCCCCGCATCTTACATTTTAGTAAATAAAAGATCTGACACTTAAATATGTACCTGTACACAAGTTCGAGCATCATAGCCGACAATGATGTCCCTCATACCTGATTAGAGCTCCTAATCTGCATCACATGTCAATTATCCTGGGATAGAAATCCGCTTCATGAGGTTGTGGATTGTAAAGATGTCTTACTCTAGAGGGTTCTTACTCCCTTATGACACTATATTGTACAATTCTGGCTGAATTACAGATAAAATAGCATTAGCAAATCCTTCTCCAAGTATGGAAGCAGTTAGTTAAGGTCTACTATCCGATAGTTCTTTCATTATGCCGACAAGCTAATATCTCTTCCTTGATTTAGTGACACCTTGAGCCAAGAGGCTGAAATGTCAGCTACATTATTGAGATCATAAGTTTTTGTAAAATTGGGTTGACGCTACTTCCCAAAATGTTACCTGCTGTAGTCACTCATGGGTCCTAATTGTGCCCTTATACGTAGGTATCCCACTTGGCTTTTGCTATCTCAGATTCTCAAATAGCATTGAATTGGTGGAATTTGCTCTTTTAAATTCGTATGATGCTTGTACTTAATTATTGCTTCAAATCCATTACTCTGGCCCCTCTTTACCGAGGCCCTTTTGGCATGGAGAAAAGAAAATACTCTCTGTGTATGTGCGTGTGTATGCCCAAGTATATGCAGAATTTATATGATCATTGATCAATACTGATGTTATTTACAATTGATTTTATGTAAAGGTACCAGTACAATCCTAATGATCCAGGTGCTGCTTCTCAGCTACGACTGACTTCTACAAGGGATCTAAACTTGAATGTGTCCGTCTGTAATGCCAACATGATTTTTCAAGCGTATGCGAGCTGGAATAACCTTAGCCACATACAAGAATCATATGGGGTGAACTCTGTTTCTTCTCATCAATCAATTCTAGTTTTTGTGCACACTGTCTGATTTTGAGGTTTATGGTGCATATTTTTATATGCAAAACATGCATATCCATGTGCTACATATGCTGATTAGACCTATATGACATGATGAATTACTAGCAAAATTACACAAAAATCTCAATACATCTTATAAGTCCGGAAACGGAGAAAGTGTTGGATTGGGTTCTTCCTGCTTTCAGGAACCTATTGATAGATTTCCTTGGATGTTATTAAACAGGAAGCAATTTCATCCACTGCTGGAGGGAAATCTGCTGTTGATGTACATCACAAAAAAGATTACTATATCATTCCCCAAAATAAGCTTGGGCAGGATGTTTTCATCAGAGCTTCTGAAATCAGGGGACCTTCTAATGTAATCAAAATGCCATCAGGAGATAGTAAGACCCTGAAAGTGCCGGTTTCAAAGAATATGTTAGATTCTCATATGAAAGGAAATCTTCTTGAGAAACTCAAAACAATGGTGGCAATCATCATAGCAGATGCAGAGGTGTGTTCTTTTGAACTTCTCATCTTCATCATATAAGTATGGTTAAATTACTATTTTTTTTCTCAAGATACAGAGAGGATCTCATATTCACGACTCTTATTGTTTGCCTCTTATAATAGTTATTTTACCCAATAGAATAAGCTTAAGCTATTGAGTTAGATGGGATTCAACATAGTATTAGAGCACTAGCACCCAATGGATCGTACTTGGTATTTGAGGAAAGTAAAATTCAGATTGCATATGATGATAACTTGAGGATTTAAATAATTATAATATACTCCCATATGACAGCTGAAGCTTCTAGATGAGGTGGTATTCAGTACATGCAGCTAAGGGAAGCTGTATTTCATGAGTAATTCGAAGCAAGGTGGAATTCAAGTAAAGTAAGGCATACCACGTGGCTTATGTAATTGGGATTTTGTTCCCACTCAAGCATATATCCTCCAGCCCACCTGATTATACTGTAAATACAATGTGGCTCATAGTTGTTAGATCCGGTCAAATCACTGGTTCAACTGGGTCGGTTGTTCACTCGGCACATCACTGTTAAATGAAAATGTAAATAAAAGATAATTTTGGTAGTGAAAGAATATATAAAATGTTCAAAAGTTAAGGCAAGCAATAAGTTAAAAATCTGTTATGAAATAAGTAGAAGAGTAATTAAAAAATAAATTGCTCAAATACTATATTTTTAATTATTTTATAGTTGACCATAATAATTTATTAGGAAAAGTAAATACACAGTAGATATGGTTAAATAAAAATATAGGTAGCTGCTTACATGACTTCTCTAACTGGAATAGTGGACAATTGATGGCTAGTTGCAGGAGAGGTCTGGTGTCGGTCCTGGATTCACCCTAACTCTCCCAGTTTGGAATTGTTTATGGTTCATTTAAAATATTCGTCTTTTTTGACTTGTTGATGTGTCTCATTTTGCACCTGTTTCATCCTCTTAATGCAGCTCCGAAAGGTAGATAGCTTGTCTTCTCATCAGTACACAGTAGCAGTCCGTATTTACCCAAATCAGAGCTACCCGAATGAATCTTTTCTCGACCAACATATTGCTCGAACTTGTGGATCTGTCTCAGATGATTCCAAATCTCCAGATATGGAATTCGTGAAGTGGAACGAAATATTTTTCTTCAAAGTTGATTCACTGGTTGGTACATAGTTATTTATCTTCAACTAATGGCATTATGCATGTTTATAACTGGCCCTAAGTAAGTATGAATTAAGCCTTTGTTGAGCTGGTTCTAGGTAAGTCTTTTTGTGTGTCTGCTCCTGTGATGAAGCATGAAATTTGTGAAATGTATTCAGTTTTACTAGCATGAATATATTGAACTATCTCCTTTCATGTGGTTCCTTCTTGTTACTTCTATTTCATATTCATTAATTACTCTGATTTTTAACCTCATTGGTGCTTTACTATTCTACATTCTGCAAACTTTTAAATTTCTTCCCTCGTGTGCAAACTTGTTGATGAAATTGGCATTGGAAACATGCCTAAAATACATATTCATCTTAGGAAGTAGAATTAAGAGATAGATTTCTGATTTTGTTAATTTAGTTGGTTTATTTTCTGTCCATAGTTACTATGTTTAAGTTAGGTTCCATTTTTGTGTTTTTATAGCTTTTCTTTATACTAGGAATTCGAAGTATAAATTGAAGTAGATTTTTTTAATTATATAGACTATTGATTGTTGATATAAGTAAATATTGAATTTCTCCATGCATTTCTTCACCCCCCCCCCCCCCCCCCCCCNTTTCCAAAATATATCACTTGGGTCCCCATTCAATTTTTGCAGCATGGTTATTGGGCACATATGGCTTTTGTATAATTATGCTCCATATATTATGTTGAGCCACTTCTGTGTTACAGTACTTTCTTGGAGCCATCATCTAATTGACATCTGCGTCCCCTTCTTACTGTCCATCTTTCTTCCATTGTGAACAGGATTGCTGTATGGTGGAATTTATTGTGACTGACACTGGAAAAGGTACTCTCCGTACACAATACACATGTCAACTTGTGGAAATTACACGCATATCTGTGTTTATAGAAATATTCCTTATTATTATTATTATTATTATTATTATTATTATTATTATTATTATTTTGCTTAATTATGTTTAACTTGTGGAAAGTACACGTGTATGTGCATGGATTTTTATTTTGTTTTCTATGTTGTATTTATGTTCAATGTGTAGCCTGGCAAAATTGGAACTGTTCAAATCAACCGTATTAATATGTGTGAGAAAGATATATGTATATATGTGACTATATGTTTAAGGTGAAATAATCTAGTTGCTTTGGATGTTCAAGTAGATCTAGCAACGAACAGAACAAAATGGTTAAAAAGGATTCATGTAGCCGACCATAAATATATTTGGAATAAAACTTAGTTTGATGTTGCTCATTAGATGTAACATCCATGCTCCAGTCGCCAATGTTATTGCATGGCATGCATTCTGACTGTTGTCTGGAAATGGACACAACTCTCTGTAACTTGATAAAAATCTAGTTTCTTTTTTGATACAATTTCAATACTTACATTTAATGCCCACGCCCAAGTCCAAGCAAGAGAGAATTTTTTATTATTCATTTTTTCAAACAGCAAATGGCCCAATAAAAGGATTTTGAAATTTTTGTTTATAGCTGAAATAAAGGTTTGAATCTTACTACCTTTCTGAAAGTTTTGAGGAAATGCATAATCAATATTTAAGAGAATAATAAGTTCGTTCTCCTTACTTTCTCCACCTTTTAGCCCTACAAGAAAATCTGGACTGGTGGTTGTACTATGTTTAGAACTCCAGCAGAAGTGCCAATTCTGATGAATGGTTCTTTTCCTGTTGCGGTTGTCATCATTTCACGTTGAATGATTACTTCATACATCTGTCATATGATACATTTTTCTAAATCAAATTCAATTGTGTCATGGTATCTCTTACAATGAAGTGAATGAAGGTGATCTTTTTGTTGTCTAATAAAACAAACTTGTAACTTATACTTGATTTGGTGTCCATATCAGTTATTACTTAAATGTGAAATTGTAAGAAAGTTTTGCTTATTAAATTCACGTGTAATTATTTACTAGCATTGATGCTTTTAATTTAATTTCATGAGATGTTATGTTATGTTCTATTATGGTAATTTGTTTGTTTATTTTTCTGAAATACAAATAAATCCCACCTAAAAGAATTAAGTTCTTTCAGAAACTCTGATGGGAAGTGGATTCATGTTTAACTAGTAAAGTATTAATGATAAGATAAACTTTGTGCAAATTAATGTTTAGTGACATAATCGTCAACAGATGTTCTGGTAAAGTAGAGAGACTAATTCCCTTTATCGATAGTTTTAGTACATATTTAATCTAGTGACTAGAGAATATTTGCCAAACAATAGATTCTACAGATCAAAAAGCTTATTGGTTGTTTTTGTTTCACGAGGATACAAAATTGGATCTTGCTGAAATTAGATATCTAAATTATGCAATTCTGACTGCAATGTCGCAAAAAGTTTAACGAAGTTACTTTTACGGAGTCTTCCAAAGAGGCAGTGAACACTGCTTCTTTTAGCTTGGGTTAACATGGTTCGTGCACAATTGACTTTGGAATCACTTTGCAGGTGTGCCAGTTTGCTACTTTTCATCTCCCGTGAAACAGCTGTTAGGATCTCAAGACTACTCTAATTCATATGATTATTTAAATGAGCTTAGTTGGCGAGAGTTGTCCTCTACAGAATCGGCGGTGAACTCTCTCTCTCTCTCTCACACACACACACACCCCTTGCGCGTACACTCGCACTTACATCCTATAACTGGATGAAGCATGTTTCATTGTCCATAAATAAAATTCTATGTAGGCATCTTATAACCTCTCACCTTGATGATGTTTCTCGCAGCTGAATATCGAATCCAGGAAAATTGGTAGAATGAGATGTGCAGTGCTCTTACCGCCTAGATCTGAAATTGAAAACATTGACAGATCATTTAGTGGAAATAGAAATTCTGGTTCTATTCAGATTAGTCCTACCCCAGAGGGACCATGGACTAATGTGAGGCTAAACTATTCTGCACCTGCTGCTTATTGGAAATTGGGCAATGAGGTGGTTGCAAGTGAAGTCAGCGTAATTGATGGAAACCGATATGTCAACATCAGATCTTTAGTATCAGTTCATAACAGAACTGACTTTTCGCTAGATGTGTGCCTCCAGCTCAGAGCTTCAAATGAAAATACGAACTCAATAGCAGGTGACAGAAAGGAGGTTAACTATGATGGAAATGAATTTGTGACGGATGAGTTCTTTGAAACTGAGAAATACAATCCAAAAATTGGTCGGGTTCCATGTTCTGACTATGAGGAGGTAAGAATTGTCATTGGTTTAGCCTTGTGCACCAAAGGAAATATATGTTATTTGAGTTTTTCTTCGTGCCTTGAAATGTCTCATGCCATGCTTTTTGTTTGACAATGAAGAAATTCTCATGATGATAACTAGAAATGAGAAAAAAAAGTGACAATCAAGAGGAGAAAAATAAAGAAATTATTTAAGAATGCTATACCTATTTATGGGTTTTTTCGAAACTGAGAAGTAAATGTTTGATATATGATGATGGTTTTACTTAATTCCTTAAAATGTTTGCTTTAAATTTCTCCCGTCATCCTTGAGTTATTTGGCGTTGTATCATCCTAGCATTGGTTAAGTAATTTATAAATATTTTTGTCTTTGACAGTGATTAATGTTGGTCATCTATACAGGGAGTTTCAGGAGTTGAGTTGCCATCAGGATGGGAATGGATTGATGAATGGCATGTAGATAATACCTCGGTAAACACTGCTGATGGATGGGTTTATCCTCCAGATTTTGGAAGTTTGAAGTGGCCAGAGCCTCAATATCCATTAGAAGATGGGAACTATGTGAGACAAAGGAGGTGGATTAGGAAGAGGAAACCAGTGACCAAGGATTTCAAATCGCAAATATATCTTGGGCCCTTAAAACCGGGTGAAATTATTCCACTTCCTTTGTCTTGCCTGACACAGTCTGCACCATATGTATTGCAATTGAGGCCTTCAAATGTGGAAAATGCCATCGAATATACATGGAGTTATGCAATGGGTATGTCCACTAGATCACAGGATGTGATGAGGTCGAAAGAAGTTTCTGAAATATGTGTCTCAACTCTCAGAGAGTCCGAGGAACTCTTGTATTGTTCTGAGATAAGTGGAAGCTCATCAAATAGTTCACATGGTATGTGGTTTTGTTTGAGCATCCAAGCAGCGGAAATTGCAAAGATCATTCATTTTGATCCAATTCTGGATTGGACAATTGTGGTCAAATCTCCTATATCTATTGCCAATTATCTCCCTCTTGCGGCTGAAATTTCTGTTCTTGAGATGCAAGCGAGTGGTCATTTTCTTTCCTGCTTTAGGGGGGTATTTAGTTCCGGAGAGACTGTCAGGGTGTATAATGCTGATATAAGAAATCCTCTATACATTTCTTTGCTTCCACAAACAGGATGGTTGCCCCTACAAGTTAGTCCCTAAGCACTTCTCAACTCTTTCTTCAACTACGAACTTGACTTGTTTTCTTGAAATTTCAGTATGTGATCTTGAAATGTCTGTTATAGGAGGCCATTCTCTTATCCCATCCTAGCGGTGTACCATCAAATACATTAAGTTTGAGAAGTTCAATTTCTGGAAGGTTTGGATTTCGGCCAATAGTTCTATACATTTTGTTTTTCCAGAACATGATATTGGTTTCCATTTTCTTTCTCAATGCTTCTAGTTATTGATGTGCAGGATTGTTCAAATAGTTCTTGAACAAAGCCATACCAAAGAAAGGCCTTTGCAAGCAAGGATCATCAAAGTCTATTCTCCTTACTGGCTTGCAGTTGCAAGATGCCCGCCACTCAGTTTTAGGCTTGTTGATATGAGTGTCAGAAAATCAAAGAAGAACCTTCTGTCTTTTACGACAAAGAGGAACAAAGAAGTCTCCCTGGAGGAGATTACCGAGGAAGAGATACATGAAGGTGCAACAATTGCATCTGCATTGAATTTCAAGTCATTAGGCCTTTCAGCATCTATAAGCCAAGCTGGAGGAGGGCATTTTGGGCCTGTTAAGGATCTTTCTCCACTTGGAGAAATGGTAAATAGAATTAATCTTATCCATGCTTTGGATATTACAAGTTGATCACGTATTGATTTCTTGATTTTCAGGATGGCTCTCTGGATCTTTTTGCTTATAATGCTGATGGTAATTGTATGTGGCTCTTTATATCTGCAAAACCTTGCCCCTACCAATCAATTCCAACAAAGGTAATAATAAGCTTACAGAAAATCTGATTTAAGCATTATCACATCTGAACTTGTGCTTTTCCTTCATCAGGTGATCTCTGTCCGTCCATATATGACTTTTACAAACAGACTTGGTCAAATTATATATTTGAAGTTAAGTAGTGAAGATGAACCCAAGGCTTTGAGGGTATCTGATACAAGAGCCTCCTTCGTATTTCGTGAATCTGGTAGGCCCAACGAGATTCAGGTGAGCGTTTCATTGTGAAAAATCTCATACATAGAGTACAGAAGTCTAGTCAGATTGAAAGAATTGCTGGCTGTTAGGCAGTAACTATTTCACGGTGTCTAGATTGTTGCGTTACTAATGCAGTTCTTTTCTTAACCCTTACAAAAACAAAATTTAAATGTGATTTGCTCCTTCATATTTCCTTGCAGATATATTATTTCCTCTTTGTATTTGCTGTGATAAAACCATATTTTTCACACCCTATCATGGCGAGTCCAAAACATTATATTTATGTTATGGTCCTATAATTGATAGAGCATGAGAACTGCAGTTGCCTAGCTGATTTTTTACAGAACGCATTGGTATATCTGGATGTTTTTGTCAGTGTGTATCTAAACAAAGTCTTCTATATTATGTTCTCCAACTCCTGTGCAAATGTGAGGATAAACGGAGGAATAAATAGTCATATAAGAGTCATACGAATTATATGATCATTCTCAGTGGATAATTTTGCGCCGTAATAAAAATATGGACAGCGTAATATTCTCTATAATTCTTTTTTTAATCTGTCATGCCAGCCAGTAGCCCTCACAAAACTTCGATACCCCTAGGACCCCAGCATAATATTTCTATATAAATTTCATTGTAATGTAACCTAATTCCTTAGCCCGGTAAACCCGAAAACTGGTGGAAAAAATGTCCAAGCACCCCGGTAACATCTTATTGTCTTTTGGGTCTTCTACTAGAGTTCTTTCTCTAGTAGGAGGGCCTAAGGAATTGAAGGAATGGCCTTTGCACCTGAATCTTTGAAGGGTGGTAACTACAGGCTTAAAAGGGGCTCATGGAACACCCAGCTAGGAACTGAGCTCCATAATCCTGTAGAAGGATGTCTTTATCATCTTGTGAAGGGGATCCAGCATCCACCAAGAAGGAAACCAAATTTTTATATAGCAGTAACTTTGATTCTCGAGTATTTCACATCACTTCTTCTGTTATTGTAACACAAGATTTTCTTTCTCATGGATAATGATGATTTTGTATGATTTTAGATCGGACATTTTCTCTGTTTGCTGTTTGTTCTCAAAATATTGCTTTTCGACATTTGTAAAAAAAAGATATTGAGGTAAAACTGACATTAGAACTTTGATTTGGAGTTTTGCAAATTCCTCTAGGACAAGACTAGTTACAGCTTTTGTACTTTAATTTTCTCCATTCTATTCATGAACACCTATTGTTCCATTTGTCACCCCATCTGTACTTCTTCACTATATATAACAGGACTCGTGATCTATATTTAGGTACGACTGGATGATACAGACTGGGCATTTCCTGTTCAAATAGTGAAGGAGGATACCATTACTCTGGTCTTAAGGAAACATGATTGTACACGGAGATTTCTACGGACAGAAATTCGAGGTTATGAGGAAGGATCTCGCTTTGTAGTTGTATTTCGCCTGGGATCAGAAAATGGTCCTATTAGGTAAATGTTTTTTACTGAAAATTCTATGCTAGCTAGCTGAAATACTTCCACTGCCTTTCTCATTGTTCTGATTTATTATGGTTTTCTTTCTTGACAGGATTGAAAACAGAACAAAAAACAGGATGGTAAGATTTCGCCAAACAGGATTTGGTGATGATGCATGGATTCTGCTACATGCACTTTCAACCACAAACTTTTCTTGGGAAGATCCATATGGCCAAAAATTCATTGATACTGAGATTCATGGTGCCAGTAGTAATGTAGTCTGCAAGATTGATTTGGATAAATATGGGTTATCCTCTGTGGAAGATGAGTTGGGCTTGTTTGTCCATGTTGCAAATATTGGAGATATTAAGGTTGTTAGGTTTGTAAATGAAAGCACGCCGTTTTCAAGATCAAATGATGGGAATGAGTCTATAGTGCAATGGGGTAATTGGGGAAATGCTCACCTACAAACTAAGATGTCCAAGCAGGGATCTCCCTTAGAGCTTATTGTCGAGTTGGGAGTCGTTGGGATTTCTATCGTGGACCTTCAACCAAGAGAGCTTGCCTACTTGTATATGGAGAGGATCTTTATTTCCTATTCGACTGGCTATGATGGTGGGACTACGAGCAGGTTTAAATATCTTCTTGCATTTGGTTTCACTAACCGCAGCTTTTTTCCATGATTGAGACAATATCTAAATGATATACATATAACAATTCCTAACAATTTGAGCTTTTAGATCTAGTGGTTCAACAACTTTGAACGACACTTGATATCTTATGCCAATTGACAAATTTAATTTTTTTTTTTTTTCTGTTTGTTTATTTCAGGTTCAAGCTTATATTTGGCTACATGCAGCTTGACAATCAGCTTCCTCTGACTGTAATGCCTGTACTTCTGGCACCTGAACAATCACCTGATGTGAATCATCCAGTTTTCAAGATGTCTCTAACAGTACGCAATGAAAACCTCGACGGTATCCAGATTTATCCACATGTTTATATACGGGTAATTTGCCTCAAACATAATTCAATATTTAGTGGAACAAAAAAAAAAGATTACAATGTCGAGGGTCATTCTTTTAATAACTTAACAGGTAATTGATACGGTTTGGAGGCTTAACATCCATGAGCCAATTATCTGGGCGTTGGTAGATTTTTTCAACAATCTCCAACTAGATCGCATTCCTCAAAATTCCAGTGTCACTCAAGTTGATCCTGAATTACGTATAGAGTAAGCATCAAATTTACTTATTCGTGGAGCAATTCCTCCCTCGCATACTTCCCCCTCCCCCAGGGTGGAAAAAAAAAAAGTTGACAATTTCTCCATTTAATGACTGGAGTGTGATAAATTCTGAAACGGTTAGTTAATTTAGCTTTTGCCTACTGAAGCTGTGATCTTTATTATTGGTATTCGATGTCTCTTGCATTTTCAGTTGTTTCTCAGTTTTCAGCTTGCTGGCAATACTAGTTTCCAACTACAAATGTTGCTTGAATTGCTGGTTGTGTGTTTACATAGCTAGCAGAATGTGATTATGTCACACATTTCAAATGTAGCAGTATGACACTTTGTCTCTTGTTAGCTTGGTAATTCAATTTTGCATTTTGGTTGTCTCTCAAGAAATATGTCTGTGTTCTTAGTGGACTGTATATTAACAAAGATTTATTCATCAAATAGAAATAAATTCATAGTTCCATATAGCTATTCTCTTCTTGACATCCTTTATTGGGATTTGATTACAGTCTTCCACTCATACTTTTCTTTTAGTTTGGGATCCCTGTTATGTACTATCAACTGACAGTCTCATCTACAAGCTAATAGCATATTTTAAGCTTAGGAGGTACTTATAAGTTAGCCAAACATGCCCTTAAATCTAGTATATGAGAGGAATTTATTTACTTATATTTAAATCTTAAATACGCCCCTCGTGTACAGTCCAAATTGTTTTTATTCAAATCACTCACGTGGAATTTTTAATGGGTTACTGCTATTCTTGATCTACATTATTATCCTGATGCGATATAGGGAAATGGATTTCTCTATATTATTATCATGGATAACGTACAACTTTTTTATGCAGGACTCCTTCAACTACAGAAAGTTACTTCATAATAATCTGTTCTGATTAGTCTGGCTCTAATGACCTTCTCCCACTAATCACTTTGCAGCTTGTTAGTATTGGGCCTAACTCCACCTAATAAAATCGGCTTATTAGGGGAGGATTGCCCTCACCTTATTAAGTAGATCATTTATATTTTTCCAAGCAATGTGGGATTCTAATACGCCCCCTCACGCACAGCGTGGACCATGCCAAACAACTGTGAACAAATCGATATTAGGTGGCACCCAATATTGCATAATTGGGCCTAACTCTGATACCATGTTAGGAATATTGGGCCTAACTCCACCTAATAAAACCGGCTTNACCGTCTTATTAGTGGAGGATTGCCCTCACCTTATTAAGTTGATCATTTATATTTTTCCATACAATGTGTGATTCTAATACAGCTCATATGTAATGTTTACAAGATCAATTAAAAAATGCAGATAAGCGAAGAATCACGAATCTATTAGGAATTGATAGTTGGACTTAAAACATACCTCTTCAAAGTAGTGGCATCCGTAACTTTCATCAATGGGTAACTTTGAAACTTAAACTAGGGACTTTAACTGCTGCTATACCATAATTAATTACCTCGTCTTAAACCTTAAATCTATTAGAGAGGATAACTGTATATATTTCCTTCCTTTGCTCTGGGGTGGGTGGAGCATGGTTACTGTACTGTAACTGTTTTGGCTTTGATAAACCATTTCCCAACTAGAAAACGGGATTATACATTATTGCTGATGGCTATTAAATGACCTTAACGCGAGCTTAAAGCTTTCATTAGCTGCATTTATCATTGTATTAGCTCTGATTATAATTTTTGAGCTTCACTTCATCTTTTCAACTTGGGAAATGCCAAATTTGAGAAGAGGCATGAGTTAACTGCGTGTCCTCTTCTTTTCAGCTTAATTGACATTTCTAAAGTGAGACTGAAGGTGTCTTTGGAGACTGCACCAGCTCAAAGACCACATGGGCTTCTGGGTGTGTGGAGCCCCATACTGTCAGCTATTGGGAATGCTTTTAAAATTCAGGTCTGTTTGATGTTTGTATTATGTAAGGACTAGCCAGTATAGTTTCATTATTCTTTTTAATTTTTTTCTTCTTACTATTCCAACATTTTTTTCTTTAGAATTGAAGTTTCTTAATTCTCTATCAAAATTAGGATTAACGAATAACTTATATTTTCAAAAAATATATATAATTATCTTTAAAAACCTATAAATTTGTGGTCTCAAATCGCAGTACATGGTTTCCATTGTTATCCTTCATAAGGAGATGGTGCATATATATTCCTCCTTTTATGCAATTAACTGCAGGGGAGGAGGATAGTCAGTGACTGAGGAAATATTTAAATCCTATAATGTTCTCTGTTCTTTTTATTTGATCGTCAAGTACAAAATAATTTCTTAATTTCTACGTGCTGTCACGATTGTCGAAAGTGTTAAATTTCTTATTATTATTCCCAAGACATCAAGAAAGGGCATGAGCTAGTGGCTCATATGGATGGTAATAAATATTTCGTTATAAGACGTTAGACACTAATGATAATATTCCTATTTCAGGTTCATTTGCGCCAAGTGGTGCAAAGAGACAGATTTTTACGAAAGAGTACTGTTATGTCTGCCATTGGGAATCGTATATGGAGAGATCTGATTCACAATCCATTACATTTGATTTTTTCAGTCGATGTACTAGGGATGACAAGCTCCACTTTGGCCTCTTTGAGTACAGGTTTTGCTGAGCTATCAACTGATGGACAGTTTCTGCAGCTTCGTTCAAAGCAGGTAACTGTTTTACTGTATTTTAAAGCACCGGCTGGTGAATGTTAACTCGCAGTGGAATTAAACAATGGGTACAGGTTTGGTCAAGAAGAATTACTGGTGTTGGTGATGGAATCATACAAGGAACAGAAGCTCTCGCACAAGGTGTTGCTTTTGGAGTGTCGGGGGTTGTGAGGAAACCTGTGGAGAGTGCTAGACAAAATGGTCTTCTTGGCCTTGCCCATGGGCTGGGACAAGCTTTCCTGGGATTTGTTCTACAACCTGTGAGTGGGGCATTGGACTTTTTCTCATTGACTGTCGATGGAATTGGTGCGAGTTGTTCCAGGTGCTTAGAGATTCTCAATAACAAAAAAAACTTACAGAGAATACGAAATCCCCGAGCCATTCATTCTGACAACATACTTAGAGAGTACTCTGAAAGAGAAGCTGTTGGTCAGGTATCTTTTTCATGTTGATATTTCCATGTTAAAATATTCCCACCCCCCCCCCCCACACCCCCAAAGCAGTTCTTGAAACAGTCCATACCACTTTATCACATCTTTTACAATCTTTAACCATACATAGCCAAAAACTCCTAAAAAGTGTTGAACCACTCGATCTAAAAAGACCCCCCCCCCCCCCCCCAAACACCCCCAAAGCAGTTCTTGAAACAGTCCATACCACTTTATCACATCTTTTACAATCTTTAACCATACATAGCCAAAAACTCCTAAAAAGTGTTGAACCACTCGATCTAAAAAGCTTTGAGATATTAGGAAGCCAATGTATATCATTTAAATTTTGTGATTCACCAAAAGTCTTGAGAGATTACTCAGATTCCTATGTACCCCTATGTACTGTACCATACTAGAAACATGAACATTATTTTGACTAGTCAACTGTCAGTTTCAAGACGAGAACCGTATATGAACAAATATTTCAATATTGCAGAAGACACACTGTAACCGCCCCTTTTCATTGGTTTCAGATGATACTTTACCTTGCAGAAGCAAGTCGGAATTTTGGATGCACCGAAATATTTAAAGAACCGTCAAAATTCGCCTGGTCAGATTGCTATGAAGAACATTTTGTGGTACCTTACCAACGGATTGTTTTAGTGACCAGTAGCCGAGTCATGTTGCTGCAGGTTGTTACTGGACAAATTTAATTACATTCTTTCCAATTTCTCTTCTATCTTACTTGTAATATCTGGTTCCTTTAGATATTGAGTCTCTCTTTTTCTTGTATTGGAAGTGTCTGGCTCTAGATAGGTTAGACGAAAAGCCCTGCAAAATCATGTGGGACGTGCCGTGGGAAGAACTTATGGCCTTGGAGTTAGTCAAAGCTGGCTACCTCAGACCTTCTCACTTAATCATCCATCTGGAAAACTTTAGGAGATCAGAAAACTTTGTTCGAGTCATAAAATGCAATACAGAAGAAGAAACAGAGGAAAGAGAACCGCAAGCAGTTAGAATCTGCTCAGTGGTCCGTAGGATGTGGAAGGCACACCTGGTTGACATGAAAAGCCCATTGTTAAAGGTCTTTATTGCATTACAGAATTTGTTTACTTTTAGGAAGCAAATATGTTAGCGCATGCAAGTGAAATAATTTGTTCATATTTCTGAAGGTTCCTTCAAGCCAAAGACACGTGTCTGCTTCTTGGAGCGAATATGGAGGAAAAGAATCTCGTAGACAGCACAGAGCCATTATCACGTCAGTGGAAATTTCTTCTTCAGGTTTTGTTTCCAATGACCGGAGATTTATCAAACATAGTGTCAACTTTTCTAAGGTTTGGAGCAGTGAGCAAGAATCAAAAAGTCGGTGCACGTTATGCCGAAAGCAGGTGAATGATATCTCAACCCATCATTGGTCACACATCACCGTCTCTCAATGTTGTTGCTTCTCTGATAATGCAATTGTATTCTAAAACATTTTCCATTCCTTTTAGAGTTTGGAGGACGGGGAAATTTGTAGTATCTGGCGGCCAGTTTGTCCCGATGGGTAATTAATTCACCCTCTTGGGGATCACTCCATCTATTACTAATCTGTTTTTCTTCCTATAAACAGCATATTGTCAGTTGTGTTTCAAGATTTCTCCTCTAATATTTAGGTGTTAATATCCAAAGCTTGAAAGTGTGTGGTGCTCATGAATTCAATCAGATTAACTGTTTACTAGATAACACCCTATTAGTGATAAATTTTGTTGGGTTCATATTGTATTTATGCAAATATTTTGCCACTTGTATGAACAATATTTCTCTCCTGCATACTGAGTTCATTTTCATACATCTTTATCCAATTCCCAGGAATGTGTGAGAATACACTGTTTATACTCTTGGAAACATAGTTATACTCATGGATCTTGAAATCAATGAAGATTAAACTGACTCTTCTTCAAATTCGATAAATGTTGGTGATCGTATATATTATTATAGTTCTATGATTCAGAGTATCATTTCCTATTTGACCCCTTCGAATTCCATATTTGAACATAGTTGCTATTCTCATGTGGATCTTGAAAACAATAAATAAGCTTTTCAAAACATAATGGTTTGATGTTTCATTTAAATTGTGAGGTCGACAGCTTCTAGAACAAAAGATTTGTTTGTACTAAGTTCTTGCACCTGACATGTGACTTTTCAGGTATATCTCGATTGGTGATATAGCACGTATGGGCAACCATCCTCCTAATGTTGCAGCAGTATATTCCTTTTCTGATGAATTATTTTCCCATCCAGTGGGTTATGACCTGGTAAACTCCCTTAAATTTTTGAAGTTATGGAGTTGGCTTTAATTTGTGAATGAAAACATTATTGGGGATAGAAGCAATTTTTCCTGGTACTCTTGTAAGGCGTGTGAGTTTTTTCCTCATCCTTTAGACTGTTTTTGTATTGAAATTTTTCTTGAAACATATAGTTGGTGAGTAGGAATATTATGCTAACTTCTGCATTTAGAAATATAGTGGCATATTGTTTCCTTGTATTCTCTTACTTGGTATGTCATCATCAATTTTCTGAATGAGCACAAGTAATCTGCCAAGCCTGTTACCTCGCAAAGATCGGTTGCAATCTTGATTACTGCGACGTTGTCTTATAAGTACCAATCAGTTTCCTTCAATTTCATGGTGACATTAATTACTAAACCATTATCCCTTTTATACTTGCAAGCCTCAACAAACTCTCAACCTTATTCTAATCACACTTCTTGTCTTGAGTTTTTATTTTTTATTTTCAGCAACGTCTTGATGTGTTAGATGCGGTCTATATATTTTTTTATTTCATATAATTGTTTACTTGATGAGGGAAAGAGTACCAAAAATCTAGTGATATGTGGAGATTTTATGAACATTGTGATGCAAAGTTTGTCTTTTAATGTGAACTTTCGTCCTAAATTGACTATCAAGTGAAATGACTTCCCATTGTGAAGTCATCAGCTTGTGACTTATGCAACATTTTGATTGGATAGTCAATATCTTCAAGTGCCTGTTGTGCTTTTACCTCAACCTTTATTTTTCATCTTATTTTTGTATCAGTTACTAATATTAAGTGAATGTATTCTGATTTCCGTATGCCAGACTTAACTAACTAACCAGTTCATTTGATGGTGGTTTTAACTGACTTCACTTGGCAATTCTTAGATAATAGTTATATTCAATAATTTTTTTGGAATGTAAATATTTGAATGTGATGCAGGTTTGGAGAAATTGTTCAGATGACTATAAAACTCCTGTATCAATTTGGCATCCACGGGCACCTGAGGGCTTTGTATCACCTGGATGTGTTGCTGTACCAAGTTTCACAGAGCCAGAACCAAATACTGTGTATTGCATTGTTGAATCTCTTACCGAGGAGACAATGTTTGAAGAACAAAAGATTTGGTCGGCACCTGACTCGTATCCATGGGCATGCCACATTTACCAAGTGAAAAGCGACGCACTTCACTTTGTTGCATTAAGACAGCCTAAGGAAGAATCTGACTGGCAGCCCAAAAGGGTTCGTGACGAACCCCAGCTTTGAATGTATGCTTAATGAGCTTTACAGGTTGAGAATTCAATAGAAAGATGGAGCTTCCTTCTATTTGTTGGCCTTAATGGTGCTGTTTCCTGGAAGACTATAGTCCACGGCCCACTAAAGATGAAGGTTCTTTTGACATGCATTAGGTCGAATATTTTCGAGGCTTTTATGAAAAAATATAATTATAATTTTGTGGACTCTTCAGAAACTTCTATAAAATGTTGGTGCTCCTCTGTTTTTGGTGAGGCTAAGTATTGAGCTTGGGAAACCTTGGCCTCTATTGTATTTTGTACCTCAATGCCTTAGAAATATGCTTATCTGCTGCTTTTTTTGTTTCGTTGTTTTTCTGTATTATAACAATAGAACTGCATTTGAACATAATTTGTATTGTCATATACATATTTTCAATGTTAGTGGAGATGTACAGAACTGTGTAATTCCAGACTTCTGTATTAGAATTTCCTTTTACAAAATACAGAAATGACATTAGTCCTCTTAGCTTCATCTTCTATAGAAATTAGGGAAAGCTTTAGTTAACTGGATCTATATATTTTTAGTATATATGTTTGCGTTAGTTTGAGAATTTTCTGTAAAATTTCTTGAGATGGAATCTTGAATTAAAATATAGATTATGCTATTTGTACATAAAAATGGTATATAAGAGATTACATAAAATGACTTGGAGTGAAAAAATTGGATGAAAAAGTTGACTGTATTTTAAACTGACAAGTGATAGAGTGATATGTGACATTATGTAAAGCTTGATGTATCCATAAACTACGTGATGGGTAGATATGAGTACAACAAGAGTAACGACTTTATGTGATGGGTTTATATGAGAACAACCAAGCTATCAAATATCAAGCAGCTGGAGAATCGGTTTCTTTTTGAGGAAAATCAAGCCCAATTTCTTGAATTCATAAGGGGATGGTTGCACGTGATTAACATGGTTTGTATTTTCATATTTTGGTCCGCAAATGTGGAAAAGAATTTCAATTCCTTGTTTGCTGGGAATCCACCAAACTCATAGGAATTCGTTTTCCATGAGGACAAAGAAAATGCAGCTTAAAGTAATTATACATTGGCAGGGGCGAACGCAAACCTTAAAAGTTAGAGGACACAATCGAACTTGTAAAGAAGTTGGGACAAATTTTACAGTCGAAAATTTACGTCCAAAAAAATCATATCCAATATAATTTTACATTTGAAAATTTACATGGATGTGACTTTTTCGGATGTAAAATTTCTAAAATTTTTATATCATATTTCATATAAAATTTCCTAATAAATGATGAAAATTACATTAAAAAATTTGTATTGCAAAAATAATAAATGTTAATAAAATAATTGAATTTTTTAAAAAAATGCGAGTTAGACGTCTTTTTTTAAGACTCGGATATAACGTATTTTTAACTATTTTTGATATCTGTTTGGACTATTCGATATGTCCATAATGTAGTTCTCAAAATAAATTTTGAGATGATATAAGCAATTTGTAGATTCGATTAGCGTACAATCGTTAGAGAATTTTTAAAATTAGCATGTTATTGAAATTCAAATTTATTGTGATTTTGCCTCTATTTGGTAGAGATTAAAATCAAATTTTTAGTAAATTTTGATAAAAGTTAAACATTTATGGATTTAATGAAGTATGTTATTAAAATTAACTGTTAACTTTGATTTAGATTAAAATTTAGATTTCAATCGATACCAAACACGATTTTATACAAAAAAAAAAAATCTCAAAAGTTGGGGGCACTTGCCCCCGGACCACTCCTAGGTCCGCCCATGACTATGCTAATGGCCGTTCTAAATAATTATGTTATTATTCATTTAAGATAATTTCTTGGGATAATAATCACTCGAGTTTTTAACACTTGTAGCGATATATAATCTGTCAAAAATAGTAATGTTAAATCTTATTGTCGCCTTTAGAACCATCATGTCACCAAACTATTATTTTATCAAGTCAAGTTAATAAAAAGCATTGGTAAAAAAGTGGGTTCATATGCGACCTAGAGCATGTTTAAGTCTCTCTTATTTTTTGGACAATATACATTTTGGAATAATGATTTGACGAAGAAAGTGCGGTTAAAAAATAAGATTTTTTTTTGAATTTGCGTGTAATATTATTTTATTGAAAAATGTGTGGTTAAAAATAAGAAAGAAAAAATTTTATTTTGAAAATAATAGGAATCAAATAAAGGCTCATTAATCTTTTTTTAAATATTATACTAATAATTGAGTTTTTTTTGTTTTTTTAAGTAATATTGAATCCTATGTGGCGGCATTAAATGTCAACATTACGCTAAATCGGCAAAATTAAGAATTTAGGAGTTCGGGATAAAACATGTTTAGATGAGAACATAACGCAGTTTTAGTTTCATTGAAATATTTGGGCTCAAATAAGATCACATAAGCAATTTGTAGATTCAATTAGCGTACAATCGTTAGAGAATTTTTAAAATTAGCATGTTATCGAAATTCAAATTTATTGTGATTTTGCCCCTATTTGGTGGAGATTAAAATCAAATTTTTAGTAAAGTTTGATAAAAGTTAAACAGTTCTGGATTCCATGAAATATGTTATTAAAATTAATTGTTAACTTTGATTTAGGTTAAAATTTAGATTTCAATCGATACCAAACACGATTTTATTAAAAAAAAAATCTCAAAAGTTGGGGGGTGCAAGGACCCCCCAGGTCTGCCCATGTACTTTGGAAACCGATTTCCATTTTCACATTGCAATCAAACGATCAAAGTAAAATTCGTTTTCCTCGGATGAGACATTTTCCATAGAAAAATTTACTATCAAACAGGGCCTAAAACTGAAAGAAGATGAAACTCTACGCAAGAATAAACTTTTGTGCACGCTTTGTACCTTAATTAGGTGTGACTATCTTTTTGAATAGAGAAATTTGTAAGTCAGATGTATCGTAAATTATGTTTAAACAAGGAGCGAGAGAAACACGGGTTGTTTCATCGATGTAAGATTAAAAGAAGTCAGGTTTTTTTCTTTTTTCTTTTGGACAAAAATTGAACTTCGATCATATGCGAGTATCAAATCCCTTCGCTGGACATTAATTTATTTTCTTACTTCAACATGACAATATCAAACTGTACTCGACCACAGACTAAAAGGTTTGAAATAATACAAATTTGATTAGTGTTCTATGATCAGTTGCACCTGAACCACATTGACTTGTCTAGAGAGACGAGTAGTGTTGAACCTAGCTTATACAACCGACGAACCTTTAACTTTTTCTATCTTTTGCAAAACGTATATCCATATAGTAGTTCAGCTAAGTTAACACTGAGACGATTAGACCCAAAATAAACGTGTTGGACCTCATTTTTCTCAAACATACCTGGTCACTACCCAAGCCGACACGTCTGCTTGTACGCTATCGAGTCTCACGTGTTTTCTGTTTTCCAACAGCTTTTTTGAGGTTTAAATTAAAAGACAGTGGTCGTTTGTCCTAGATGCGCAAGTTGTTCATATGCCAAGTCGGAAACACGTCACGAGTGCATAAAGTAATAAATTTGCATATTATTCAAATTCGGCAGTTTATACATGACATGGAAGCTGTATATAAAATGAAGACGATTCAGCAATATTAAGACATGTTGATTAAAACACTTTGCTAAATCATTTTTCTACGAAAGCTGCTATTTATTGTATTAAAATAACTTGACTTTCCCTTTAGAAAATGGAATTTTTTATGTCCCTTTTCAAAGTAAACGAAGAGAACACAACTACGATTCTACAATGCTAACAAAATACATAATCTGTAATTAACTTTAAAACGTTTAAAAAATGAGACAAAAAGCAAGAAAATGAAAGCATAAGATTTAGTTGCAACCACATACTGCATTCTTGGAAAGATCCTTTTAATCATTCTTATCCTAAAAGGCCTAAAATTCAAGAATTCAAAGATTTTTTTTCCATCCACATATATATGTTGTGTCTTCATCAACAGAGACCAAAAGGAAAGATGCAAAATATGTGGGGTTGAATGGCCTTTGGCCAAAACAAAACCACCCATTGATTATCATTTAGATATGGCTGAGAATTCTGCCTACTTAATGTCCTAACTGCTTTTAATGACTTGTGGAAATCCTTCGAGATATATGACATCAAAGGAAAGCACCAGTGAGATAGAACTTTAATGAATTCATGTGATCCTCTAACAAATAACTTTAACGATTTACATGAACATGGTATCAAAAGCTACCTTCGATAAAAAAAAATTATGAACATTAAGACTTACTGAAAGCAAGATTTAAATGAATACATGTGATCATTTTCTAACAACTTTAACGTCTAGATGATATTGTTATAAACGTATGTTGTAAATATTTACAGTTTCGATCTAATCGAAAGACTGAAAAATTATAACATGTTTGGTATACCAGATTGAACGAAATTATGGAAACCATTGATTATTTTGTTAAGAACTTCCTTTTTATGGTACTTAAAAACATTTTTAATATTTTTTCTGTACTACGTTTTAAGTTGGAAAAAGTCCAAGGGATTGAAAGGAGATGGCTTTGAAATGGTTAAAAAATTACACTTTTTTCTTTTCAAAGTAGGGCCCACCAAAGATTGTCTTCTTCTTGTACACAAAGAAGAATTATCTTTATAAATAAACGCGGGTTTCCACCATCCATTCCTACGTTTCGTGTTTTAGCAGAAACAAAACATGGCTTTAACACTTCGTTCTTCAACTTCTTTTATCAATCTTAAAGATAATAGAAGCTTTAAAACTTCAGAAGATTTCTCTACCATGGTTGGCTTTCCACAAATCAAGCCATCAACCCAGCTTCGAGCAAAACATTCCACGCACGAAGTTCACATCCCAGTGCTCGAAAGAGTTGACCAAAATGAGAAGCTTCATGGGATGGAAATTCCTCATGACCATAAAGGTTTGAGGGTACCTGTTTTTGTGATGCTGCCACTCGACACCATATCGATAGGCGGCAACTTAAACAAGACAAGAGCCATGAATGCTAGCTTGATGGCTTTGAAGAGTGCCGGAATCGAAGGAGTAATGGTCGATGCATGGTGGGGATTGGTCGAGAAAGATGGACCTTTAAATTACAACTGGGAAGGGTATGCTGAGCTTGTAAACATGGTCGAAAAACACGGCTTGAAGCTTCAAGTTGTCATGTCTTTCCATCAGTGTGGAGGAAACGTTGGAGACTCTTGCAGGTAAGCAAAAATACACCCCTTCCCCTTCCTTTATATTTAGAATTAAGCTCATTGTACGGATGAAATGTACAGAGATTTTTACAGATATTAGGTGGCAACACTAGATTGATTGGCTTAAATTTGTTTTTTGTCCAACATTCAATGAAATTGTGCCAGCGAGCAATATTTCAAACACAAAAATTCTTGTACATATAACATGATTGTTATATTTATCCATGGAGCTTCCCTTCAACTATCCATAAATCCCTCCTTATATTTTAGCTTTTCTTCTTAATGTCAATCTTATCTAGTTTCGTATAGTCCAATCTTAACAAACAAGGCATAAAGAAGTTCCATAATTCAAATTCAAGTGTTAATGAGGGGAAATTGCATTATTAGTCCCCAATCTATTTCCAGAGAGGAAAAGGAGCAAGTTGAAGCCGTTCAGATGCCCATAAAAGTCATGTTACACTCACATGTCCATATTTATACAGCTAGATTTTGTCACCAAACTTAAGTTTGTGGCTACAAATTTGATGTTAGACATGTTCCAAGAGGGGATCAAGTGATGATTTAACTAGACAAATTAAAGGTTGAGGACCAACTTGCTCCTTTTCAAATGTTGGCGTCCAACCTGATACTTGGGAAATTAGTTGAGGACCAAATCTGCAATTTTCCCATGTTATTATATGTTCTTAAAATAGTAAATATGGCTAGGATTTCTTCTACCTTTCTGATAGAGTTGTAATCCAGAAGTGATAATCATCAATATTGGTTTTCCATTTGCAGCATTCCTCTGCCTCCATGGGTTCTTGAAGAGATCAGCAAAAATCCCGACCTTGTCTACACAGATAGGTCAGGTCGGCGCAACCCAGAGTATATCTCATTGGGCTGCGATTCGTTGCCTGTTCTCAGAGGAAGAACACCAATTCAGGCCTATTCCGACTATATGAAGAGTTTCAGAGAAAGATTCAAGAACTATATGGGAAAGGTTATAGTGGTAAGGCTCCGACTTTCCTCACAAATCCTAAAGTTTATCTTGAACATTCATAGAAATGTCTATTTCAGTAAACTTTTCTTCATATTACTTCATTAACTATAGAAAATGTTTAGTTTCCAAGCATTCACTATATGCATTTAACAGCCAGAGAAACACTTTCAAGGCATGTTTGGTACATGACTATATGGACAAGATTTTTTAGCTTCTTCGTTTCACAAATTATTGTCCACAACTATTCAATCCACCTTTACCAAACAAGTCATTATAAAATTAGGGGAACAAAGAGCCAATATCTCTTTCTTTATGTTGCAGCAGATTTTAAAAATGGTAAATAAGAACTGAAGATCAAAGGCTTAGAAAAAACATCAAATTTCTAATAGCTTTGAAATATCCAATTTTCTTCTAGCAGTACGACCAATTAGCCCAATTTATTCAGGAAGATGTACTGATTTTATTTGTTATGTAAAGTACAGTCCATTCTCACTTTAGCCAGATAAGCAAAGCTCAAGAAAGAGGAAAGATTTAACAAAGAATTAGCATAGTGTAGAGATATTTGTGGGGAGGGGGGAGCACAGAGAGGAAAACATTATCAAAAAAATAACTTGTCACTATCAAAATAGTGGACAAATTTAAGTCTTAGAGCTATGCTTAAAATATCACATGTTAATGGCCCACTCTGCTCTTTATTTCATTTTCTAACCTACAAATGAAATGAACAAACAATTCCCTTCCAACTTTAGAAACTCAAATTTGCTTTCTCTTAATGCAGGAGATACAAGTGGGGATGGGACCTTGTGGAGAGTTAAGGTATCCATCCTATCCGGAAAGCAACGGAACCTGGAGGTTTCCAGGAATTGGTGAATTTCAGTGTTATGACAAGGTAATTAATGCAATACTTGAATTACACTTTAAAATAGATTTTTTTTCCTGTAAGAATCGGTCCAGCCTAGCCGGTTCAATTGGAAAAACTGCGAACTGGTTCTAGATATCAAACCGGATACCCTAAACGTCGCAAAACCTTAATATTTGAATTTTGTTTTTGTGCTGATGAAAAACTTATATTTTTAGAATTTCTATGGTATATATACATAATTTTTTGACCTCCATTTCAACCCCGATTGAACTCTTTAGACCCTTGACCTTCTTCGAGTCAATGCCCTGGCCAAGTTTTAAAATGCTGATCTTCTACTACATTTCTATGTAAAACAGTACATGAGAGCTTCACTGGCAGCTTCAGCAGAAGCAATAGGGAAGGATGAATGGGGACAAGGAGGGCCAGTTGACGCGGGACAATACAACCAATTCCCAGAAGAAACTGGATTTTTCCGAAGGGACGGTACTTGGAACAATGACTATGGAAATTTTTTCTTGGAATGGTATTCTGGAAAACTACTTGACCATGGAGAGAAAATCCTGGGAGCAGCTAAAGGAATATTCCAAGGAAGTGGAGCTAAACTATCTGGGAAAGTTGCTGGAATTCATTGGCACTACAACACAAGATCGCATGCAGCCGAATTAACAGCAGGATATTATAATACTAGGCACCATGATGGTTACTTACCAATAGCCCAAATGATGGGTAAACACGGAGTTGTATTGAACTTTACGTGCATGGAAATGAGAGATGGAGAACAACCAGAGTATGCCAAGTGCTCACCTGAAGGTCTAGTTCGCCAAGTTAAGATGGCAACAAGAACAGCTGGAACAGAACTTGCTGGAGAAAATGCACTGGAGAGGTATGATTCAGGATCATACTCACAAGTTTTGGCAACAAGTAGGTCGGATTCTGGAAATGGACTGAGTGCATTTACATATTTGAGGATGAATAAGCAGTTGTTTGAAGCAGAGAATTGGAGGAATTTGGTTGAATTTGTAAAAAGCATGTCAGAAGGTGGTCGAAACAAGAGACTTTCGGAGATGGACTCGAGCAGGACAGATCTGTATGTCGGATTTATCAAAGAAAAAAATGTGAAGGAGATGAACAAGGTTGCCCTTGTGTAAAGATATACATGCATCAACATAAAGACAAGTGCTCTATTCTATGTAGCACGAAAAGCGAACATGCTAACGCGTAACTCTTTATAAAAGTAGGACTCGGACATGTGAGAACGTGTCTACTAAAGTTATACATTTATACATGTTATATTTTTGTTTCAATATTTATTTATTTTGTTCCTTCCAAGGTGAAATCTTTCGGACAAGAAAGACTATTTGTTGTACTTTGTATCGCTAGAGGAAAGAAAATAAAAATATTCATGTATCAAAAATTGCATATGATATATATAAACTAGTTCAATACAAAGATTTTATAGTTTTTCTAATTATATACAAGCTATATGTAAACATAAATATTTGTACTGAACATATTTTGTTTCAATTAGAATTTTTTTTGCGGACATAATTATATTATTTTCCTAGTTTTGTGTCGTAAATTGCAATATTTACAATTGGGGTTTGTCATGCAGAAATGTCCTCATATCCATAGTGAGAAGTTTTATCTTGCCCATTTGGAAAGAACCTTACCTACAATTCTCACATTCTCGTCACATCAGCAAGTGGGCCTGATAAGGGCAGGAGAACAATTTCGGTTTGCCATGTCTTCAACATGTTCAGTACATGTACATTGCATATTAGAAATTAGAAAGACATAAAAACCAACATGCAACGTGGCGTGTCGAAAACGTGTCCCGGAATATATGAGAGTGTTATTACATGTCAGACATGAGGAGTGTGTGAGCTTCGCAAGCTGTATCAGTGAATGAAAAATAAAACCACAAAATAGAGGCACGGAGAAGAAAGGGGTCAAAGAATATTTATTGTTGAAATTCACTGATTCACTCTAGCCAAAGACTGACATTGAAATCATAAAATTCACATTCTTCATATCCAACAAAAAGGGAGTCAATTCACAGTTACTAAAATCTCTTCCCAGGAGGTTAACGTGTTGTTGTTCACAACTTTTAACCAGGAGGTTATTGCATTGTCATTCACAGATAATTCAGATTTGAAATTCGAAAGTTGAGAATTCAAAATAGAACCATCCATATAAGAGTTTTTTTTGTTTTTGGAGGGTGGGATTGGGGGCACGAGCCCCCAACTTCGCTTTTTTTTTTTTCTACGTTTTGTTTCAATTTTCAAAATCATTATAATATGTGAAACGAAATCGAAATATTACATTCTTATTACCATTTCAAAGTGTTCACGGTCTAGTTTTTAATGTCTTTAACGGCGTTCAAAACAATCAATCGTGGCAAATGTTAATACTTGTCAAAGTAGGCGGTTTAAAATTAGTATTTCGAGAATTTCGATAACATGCTAACTTTAAAAATTTTCCATGATCGTACAGTAGTCGAATCTACAAATCTCTTATATCATCTCAAAGCTCATTTCGAGGACTACATTATAGGGATATTGAATAGTTTAAACGGATATCAAAAATAGTTAAAATGATTAAACGTACATCTTAAAAAGAGGCGTTTAACTCGCATTTTTTTAAAAAAAATTAATTATTTCATTAACATTTATTATTTTTGTGATACAAATTTCTCAATGTAATTTGCATTATTTTATTAGGAAATTTATATAGGATGTAACATCAAAAGATTTCAAAATTTTACGTCCGAAAAAGTTATATTCCATGTAAATTTTCAGATGCAAAATTA